CTTTATAGCCCATCTTCTCAATCATTTCCTTCACCACTTGGTAGATTATTGGTTTGCCTGATAAAGAGCACCCGAAATAATGTGTCACTCCACGAGTATTACAAAGATAGGATACATTATACAAGAACAACAACCTAGTAAGGCCCTTTTTGCTATCAGCTTAAGAAAACATAAACACAGGTTATAACATCAATGAAAAGTTAGGGTATATGAAAATAGTAATTTTATATAATAAAAAAACATATAATTTGGACATTGCGGAGAGCTTCCATGAGCAACACACTTGGCATCTAAGAAATTAGTGAAAATCTTGGATTGAAATACTAAACAAAGAAGGATGAAGAAATAGGACCAGAATCAGCCCTCGTTAATGACTGTCCGACGAAGACTAGGGTTCGCCGCAGGTTTGGCTCTGCTTTGCCACCACGAGCTATCGTCCTCCGCTGCTGTTGCAATCGGAGAACCACCCAGCGTCGAAGAAGTAGTCCGTCCCCGATCCGTCTGTCTTCGTGCCCAATTCCGATCGAAATTGCGAGCCCTCCGTCCAACCCGTTGATCGAAGAAGTGGCCGAAACCGCTTTCTTTCCAATCCCCGGCCCTTTTTTATCCCCATGATATCCTTATCCAGCCCTCTATCAACATTAAAACTTATCAAAATTATAAGTTGGACCCCATTTTGCTAATATGTTTGCTTATTAGTCCTTTCTTCATAGTCAATTTTTTATTTCGATTTGTGGTTGACTGACATATCTTTTAACCACGTTGGAAATGGTTAAAAATCTCTACCTTATTATTCTATATCAATATGAATGATTCAACATATCTCCACTAGCGTTTCCATCCCTCTCGTTTTTAATTTGTTAATTTGTTCTTTTATCATATGTCTTAATTCTATTCGTTCAGTTTAGTCCTTTAATTTTAAATTATAACTTAAAAATCTGAAATTAAAAGTTATAATTTTTAATTTTTAAATATTCAATGTAAAAAATTATTTTAATCATTATTTTATAGTTTTTTATCTTTTAAATTTATAATTCATATTTTTGTGCAACCAAACAACAAAATCCAAATTGAGGTTTTTCATTTCTAATTCCATGGGCTCGATTTCGTGTTCTAAATGATGCCTAATTTTATGGTTTTTTATTATTAAGATACGGAGTATTTAAATTAAATGTCATTAAAATCAATACTGACGGATAAAACATTGTTGCTAAAACTATAAACAATACCGACAGATAAATTTTTGTTGCTAATACTATAAACAATACTGACAGATAATTTTTTTGTTGCTAATATTATAAACAATACCGACAGATAAAGTTTTGTCGCTAAAACTATAACCAATACCGACAGATAAAAGTTTGTTGCTAAAACTATAACTAATAGCGACAGATATTACTCTTTCTGTGGGTCAAATAGTTTTTGCCTACAAAAAATTTTATCTGTGGTAATATTCTCTTTTTAGCGACAAATAAGGTTTCTGTCGCTAAGGATCTGTCGGTATTGCCCTCTTTTTTTGTAGTGCATCTAGCTACTGCGTAAATACTAGCAGTGCTCTAGAGTCTAAATAAACCTACCCCCACACCTCAAGTGTTCCAACGAGATGACGTCAATTCTATTGATTTTAGGGTCAAATTTTGAGTGACAATGTGAGAGCTTTATCCTTTGTATTAGTAGCTCTTTGTGCACACCAGACTCAAGGCGACCCCTTTAAAAACTAGATTGATATCCCTTCACAATCTTGTCGAATCGGAGTATGGGAGACACCCGATGTGAGCGTTCCGCCTTTTTCTAAATAAGCCTACCTTGTTTTCTTTATTATTAGAAAAAAAAATCACTCTATTTTATACGAAGTAAATCATTTTTTACCATTTTATAAATATATACTCTCTCCGTTCCACAAAATCTTTTTCCTTTCTTTTTTTCATCAGTCTCAAAAGACTTTTCAAATTTCTATTAAAAAGTCACTTTTGCTCCTACTAATTCTTAACCTACATACTACATCACATTTTTTCTCTATTAACATACACACCTCATCTTACTTTATCCATCACATCAAAGGGCACTCTTGGAAAATCAATATCAAAATACACCCTCCTTCAATCATTTAAAAGTCAAAACAAGAAGGTTTTTGCGGGACGGAGGGAGTAGAAAACACTCTTTTTTACATGGTTAAACTATATTCCCATTCAAATATATTTTTACTAATTTCATAATTCGCAGTGTAATATATAAATTTTATTTTTGAATCTTATACTTCAATCAAATAAATTGAGTCAAATTTAAATTCAAAACCTTACATATATATTACTCCCTCCGTCCGGAAATATTCTTCCCACTTTCCTTTTTGGTCCGTCCGGAAATATTCTTCCTATTTCCTTTTTTAGTATACTTTTTAAGGATAAATATCAATAATACCCTTCTATTTTATCACAAATCTACTTTTTTAGTACTTTTTTAATAATAAAAGGAGATTCAAAAGTTTATACTATATGCATTGTTGAAAATTTTGCATTTTTTTGCTATTCCTTAATAAGCATGCCAAGTCAACACGGGAAGAATATTTCCGGACGGAGGGAGTAAGAAATAGACCTCGGCCGGCAGGACTCTTGGCTCACCCTAGAGCCAGCACGGTGCTAAATATAAACATCTCACGCTCTCATTATCAGGAGACAAACCTATAACAATGTTGTTCAATTTCTTATGAAAAGAATTAAATCAACCCCTTTAATCACATTTTGATTTTTGAGCGTCATTCTTATTGAATCCACATATTGGACATGCATGGTAGTTGTGACGAGCAATATGTAAGCCCTCGTAAAAGTAAAAATGTTGGAAAGGTTTGACGAGAGCTTGACATTAAAGAGTAAAGACTTCACAAGAATGCAATGATAATAGTTGTCTATGTGTCACAAACAATGATCATTCGTATATATCTTTGAAATACTTAGTGTATACCTATGCGGTACAAGTGCACAACTTGATCGAGGTACCACCCCTGGTATACACCTAGCATGGTTGTTGAAAATTTGATATCCGGATTATATTTCAAAAGTACCCTTGTAATTAATTCAGTTTTGTACCATTCAATTCACTTCAGTTCATCTTGATCCCTACTTTTAGCTCATCAATATTCAATTTAGTACATTTTAGCTTAATAAACTTGGTTGGAAAATGCAGCATACCACAAAGTAACCAAATTTTTCTTTGGCAATACAGGCACTTCTCTTGCTTTCATTTATTCTTTTGTTGATGTAAATGGTGCTGGCATGGAGAGAACAGATTTAGAAGAAAGGCAGAATGGTCTCTACACAAATTTTGAATGCTAGCCATCCAACCCAAGAATCACACCTTTGATTGGACCAAATTTCTCACCCATTACCCCGCCCTTTTGTTTTTGAAATTGAATATACCGCAACGTGCTGGCAAAGAAAGCATCATAAGCTGGATTCGCCGTTGTGTTGTCGTTCTGCATCTCTGTCTTGATTAACTCAATAAGTCCTTGGATTGCAGCAGTGGTGATTTGAGGATTTCCCTTCTCAAAAAAGTATAGGTACCTGTTGGAACACACAGAAATGACATCTTTAGTATAAGAAAAATGGCACCATATCATCAACCACATTCTGAGGGGAATCCTTCCATAACAAAAAAGGAAAAAATGCAGCTTGCCACACTGGTTGTCTTTACTAACTTGTTAAGAATTTCAACAAATAGCGTGACGGGCCCACTGCTGCCTCTCGTAACATTTGCCATCTGCTGAGCAGCATTTGCAATTCTCAAAGAGCGCTTTAAACACAATAAAACCCTGCATAACGGCAGGAACTTCAGGTGTTGTAGTTTCAAGTAATTTTGTAAACAGTATGCAGCATCAGTCAAGTAACAAATAGTCCTCTTAACAAAAGGTTTTCGTAATTAACTGTTCTTAAATTTTATAATTTGATGAGAGTAAATGAGAACCACCATACTATTCAGGCTTACCTCTCACCATCCCTGATACCATCTTGATCATCAACCCAAAAGAGATGTGAACAAGCATAAACTGCTCTGCATTGATCAGGTTTCTTCAGAAGCTTTGCTGAATACTATAGCACAAAACAAATCAAAGCATTAGACAGCGAGAGAGCAGCAGAGAATCTTAGATTATGTAGTTTGACTACCCCAGTGGCTTTGTGAGTTAAGGTATCCCTGTTTTCAACGCCAAAAACATTCATCCGCTGAAGAGTTCCAATTATTAAGTGGATAGCAGTCACTTGCGCTTTAGAATCCTAATATTGGAAAGGGGAAAGTGCGGAGATCAGGAAAACAATGTCACATAACTCTCAAATATTTTCAATGACAATGAATTTCTCTGATTCGCTGAGTAATTACCGCAACTTCTTCCTCGTATAGTACAAATGCTTGAGTGAAAAATTCATAAGCAACTGGTTCAAGATCACAGTCATTGGCAGCCTGAAGAATGAGGCAATTTTTTTGTAAAACCAAAAAACTAAACAAATATTTAACATAACTTGCAGGGTGAACATGTTTTCATTATATTATGACAACAAATGCTAAGCGATATTAGTGGGAAAACATTCATTATATAAAGAAAGTTACACCGGGTAGGCAGGTCCAACAAAAAACTGGCTGGGTTGAGATCCTCATTAATCTATAAAGAATGTATCTCTACATGAATATTGAGTGTCTTTGAAGAATATTAAAATAACAAGTTGTAAGTTGCTAGTTTATATCAAAAGCATGTTAATCTGACACAGCATTTACCTATGATCCTTCATGATGAAAATCTAACATGACCCTTGATGCAAGTATAGCAAAACATTTGCAGTATGTTTGGTTCAAGGAATTTGAAAGGGAAAAGAAAAAAAATTGAGATGGAAAATAAATTTTCTTATTTGGTTCGAGAGGAAAAGAAAAGAGAAAAGTGGATGGAAGAGAAAATGAAAAGGCAAAATATACAAAACCAAATTCCTCCCATTTTAGCAAGGAAAATGAGAGAAACTCATTTTCTTTTCTTTTCCTTCCTAATTCCTTGAACCAAACATAGTGTTGGTAAATTATGTACCTCTGCACACTGCAAGTACAGCCTCAATGCCAGCTCGGGAGATGGAACTGCTGAGAGAGCCTCAATGATCTGGATAAAAAAAATTGACAAACAATTTGAAAGAGAAAAAAAGATGGAAGACTGTTAAGAACAAAGATAGGAAAAATGTAAGGCTCCTCCAACCATTTTGCCTTCATAAACTAAATGGCTTAGATCTGTGCAAAGACAGATGTATAAGATACAATGGTTCCTTCGTCTTATGAACGTCGTAGTACATCAGTAAGGTTGTTTTCGTTCTTTGAGACGGACAACGTCGTTGTTAAGTTTTTAACGGGAAAATTTGTGGACTGTAAGGCTGGTGGGGGAAATGGGGAATGGTACGGGTGACAGTTCCCATCAAAATTTATAAAGTATCCGCCTGTACACCTTCCAAAACCGTCCACGTACTTGGTGGTTTTTGGATAATTTCCATGTGTGTCTGTGTGAGTGAGAGAGAAAATTCTTTCAATAGGTATGCTGTTATGTATAAGTACATGTTTGACAACTAAAAATTGAATGTACACCCTTCAACTAACAGCTTAGAGTCCCTACGGACAAGTATTTTGTTTATTGTACCTATAGTAGCCACCCATATATTGCCTATTACCTGATTCAACAACTGAAAAATGTCCTCTGGTGTGGAAGGAATCTCTACTACATCCTGACCTTGCAATTGTCGTATCAACTGCATGTCAAAATGCAACCATTTAAATTGGATTCTTCCCAAAGTGTCCCTCTACTCCACCAGAAACAGTAACAATAATATAAATACTCATGTATACTACTTGTATACCGGAGTATAACAATCAAAGAGCCTGACAACAAACGTCATATGTGTTTTCAAATATTATATGTATAATTTTCTTCAGTAATGGAACAACAAAATAGATCAGCAATAGTTTTGTGAACAAGCATGAACTATGATGTAGGACATCATGTCAAATGAGGATTTGAGCTTGCTACTGAAACTCATGGAGTACTAATCCGAACCAGAGTAAACCCTTGACAACCCCCCCCCCCCCCACCACCACACAAAAAAAATCAGGGAACAAACCTTCAGCGCAGAGAAAACTAAAGGAGGAACTGTATATGGGAGTCGCTTTGGACCTCCAACCAAGATATGCTTTCTCAAAGTGCATATTATCTGAGAATGCACAACAAAATAATAAATGATGGTTAAATAGAAGCAGCTGGATCAAAACGATGTGGACAAAAATATTAGAAAAGATTATGAAGTACCAAAATTGTAATGGAACAACAAGCCTCACACTGAATGATTGAGTGAAGTGTCTTCAAATAAAAGGATGCACATGGCATCCTTGCTTCACTTTTTCCAAATTCAATTTTTTTGTTCTCTTTTTCCTTTTTATTCTGGCTTGGTTAATTTTTATAGTAAACCTATTTTCCAACATAAAAATCTATGTGCAATAAAAAGGGTCAGGGAAAAGGAATGGGAATGAATGGAACTAAAATGCCAATTTCATAGCACCTTCCAATGTTTGTCACTTAAAGGTATACTAGGGTATTAGACCAATAAGTCTTTTCCATATCACTCCCTTATCCTTTTCACTTCCCATAGCATTTATTATTTTCAAAAGTTGACGGTGGCAGCCACTGTTTTTGGAAGTTGGAGAGGTGATCACTGCAGAGTTGGGTGATAGGAGAAAAATGAGAAAACAATCTTCCATTTTCATACAAAAACAACATTCCCAGAAAAACCCCACAGAGTGGGGTGTGCAAAAAACATACCCCTACTTGATAAGTAGAGAGGTTGTTTCCCCAACACCCCAACTCAAAACACAAGAGAACAATGACAGAAGAAAGTAGCACAAAGTAAGAGGATAAACAAAAACAAACACACATGCAGAAACTTTAAATTTAGGCACAAAAGCACACAAGCAGAAACTACAAACTTAAGCACAAAAGAACACAAACCATAACTACATCCATTTTTCATATTTGAAAGAAGAAGAGTAATTACCTTTAACATCTCATCTGAATCATCATTATATAACATGTGTACTAGCCTAGCAACAGAATTTTGTTCCTCCTTGAAATCCTCATCATCAAGCTATTAGACAACACAACATAAAATCAAGAAGCCATTTATTAATAGCAATATAAAATTTTGTGATAAAATCAAGAAATTTAGTCCACTATTTACTTGGAAGTAAAACATTGTCGATAATGATTCCAAATGTGTTTTTCCTACATAAAGTATCATTTATTGAGAGGAAAATATCAAATAAAGAGGTTACTAGTTAATGATGTCAATGACACCAATATGCTAGTTAGAGAGTAATTTAAATAATTTATCATAATTTGTATGTTAGATATGAATTGTAGAACTAATTTTCAACTGACTCATTAATTAGTAAATACTACCTCCGCCACGGAGTATTTGTCCAGTTTAGACTTTTTCAGTCAATCGTGTTCAACCATTGACCTACAATTAAATATAATAAATATTGTATATTAATTAGATAAAATAATATTTTGAAAACATTTTATATAATAAATCTAATAAAACTATATTTGTATCAATATCTAATATCATTTTTATTTAACTTGGAAACAAAGTTTACCAATTTTGACCAAAAAAAAGTCAAAAGTGAACAAAACTCCGGGATGGAGGGAGTATGAATCAAAAGATACTAGGCCCATAATGCTCCTAATAATTTTTCATCTACTTGTAGGTGTTATACTCCATTCTAAAATGATCTTTCCAAAGTTTCTTAATATAATGCCACCATCGGGAGTTGTATTCCGTGAGAGAGAATATTTGCACATCCTTTCAAGAGCACCCTTTTCCCATGTTGATGATAGCACCCACCAATGGCCTCTTTTTTAAAGGTGTATATGATTGTTCACTAATGAATGTAAGTGGTTGAGTGGCTGGCTTTTTGGCTCTCTAATATATTTGTTGCCAATCAGAGATCCTAAAAAAATTGATGTTGTCAAAATTTATCTCCAAATTATTTTGGCATTTTGGTCTTCCAAAATTTATCTTCCAAATTATTTTGTGTAGTTCATATTATATTTTATTTTTAAATCAAGGGAGAACTACCAAAATATGACTAAAACATGTTTCATTTACCGAAATAGGACTTTCAATGTTTTTATACCGAAATAAGACGTTTAATGTCAAAGTGTGTGCCAAAAACAATATGAAATACCAACATACAACAGCAAGTTGTGGCATTGCATAGTGCCAAGGGTCCTATTTAGGGGATAAAATATAGGAGGTCCTATTTTTGATACAAATTACACTTTATTAAACATTGTGCCAAGTAAAATGGAGAAAAAAATTATGGGACAGAGGGATTAAATCATTAATAAATGAAGAAATTCAATAGGTACAATGAATTTAGAAATTAGAAGGTTTTTTATATGAACCAAATATTGAATGGCTTAAACATTATTAGGTGAAATGCTAACTGCCTGTGTAAACTATAAATCAAATGGATGAATTGGATTAAATCCATAAATTTAAACATCTTTGATGGATGATTGGATAGGCCCCATAGATTTAATTTTCTGATGAACTAGATGGAATAGTGAACAGATTGGCTCTTTTGTCACCCCTATTGGGACTAATTCCAGAGAAGTGCTATAAGCCTCTAAATAAATGTCATCAATACGAAAACCAAGAAATCCAAGTGTAAGATAATGAAATATTGAACCTCATTAGTAGAGCTTCCATCAAAATCTTTGATGAGGCCCTTTATCAACTCAAACAAAACCTCAACCTGAAAAGAAAGACAAATCCAGCTGCTGGGTTGTAGACTCATAGGTCAAAAACAGATTAAACAAAAGTAAATCAGCGAGTTTAGTACCTTGTCAGCAGTAGACACACAGGTATCCCTTTTCATTATGTTTTCAATTATAATTTTTGCCATGATTTTATTTGTTCCGGCATCAAGGTGATCCATGACTCGTGGATAGTTAGAGAGTGTTAGAGCTGTGACAATATCGGTGTACTTCTCTAATGGCGCACTGAGGAGAGCAACAATTTGTTTTGTCGCTTTACTATCATTAAGCTTTGGTTTACCAGAGAGTTTCTTAACACAAGCTCCCTGTCAATAGTAGAAGCACAGACAAAACAAGAAGAAAAAAACAGCTGAATTATGGGATAATAGGGATCAATGATGTACTGAAGGGATTCAAACTCATCATATCAATTCATTTTGGATTGTATGTGTTACATATGACTCGTGACAGAATTTGTTGGAGGCTTGGTAGTTTTTGTAAATGTCAGATTCTTCCTTTTCCAAAAGTTCAAAAAGGAAAAATAACATATAAGGTACACATCTTAGTTTAAGAATGAGTCACATATTCTTTCCACCTAATTTATATAAGAAATTGTCAGCCATTATTGATGGGTAGAAGTACAATGCTACAGATGCATGAGTGTTATAGCAATTCAAGCTATCACTACATGAGATGTGGCAGTGACATTGCACAAACGAACTACTGACTCATACTCTTTTGTCATCAAAAAGAAAAAATACTTACCAATACTTGATCCACATAATCAAGTCGATCAGGATGTACACGAAGTGTAAAAGTCAAAAGAGAGACATACAACGAAACAGCTCCAACTATAGGCATGTCAACTTGTGCTTCTGCTACCTGGCATTTGAAAATCTGTTAATTTCTTGAAAGAATGGCAACATCACTCGCAACTGCATTCTCGTACAAACAGAGCCCTTCACTATTAAAAAGAAGAAACATTTTTTCCTGATAAACTTAAATATAAGAAACACATTAATCTGAAAACAAATATAAGTGATCCAAGTGTTACTTTGAGGGTTTAAGTAAACCTAACAGTTTCTTCACTTCTTGACTTCTTGTAAACACATATTTCACTACTATAAAACTACATTTATGTAATAACAGAATAGCATGCGCTTATATTTCATATACATTAATAAACTACAGTAGCAATCACCAATCTTGTGATGTCTGAAATTATTTGATGTACCCAAATTACCGAAAAGAATCTTTGTTGTCAAGAAAATGGTGTTGAAGATATGTGGAGGACTTTGTATTGCCACAACATAGTCATGATAAAACAAGAGTTCAATGAAAAGAGAAGTAAAACTAAGTCAACAGAGTAACAAGAACATTACAACAACAACAACATTATCCCAGTGCCTCAAAGGCTCCCGCGCATTGCTGGGTATGGGGGGTCGAAGTAACAAGAACATTATAGCAAGAAGTATAATTTGCTGCATTAATCTTATATTGTAATTACTTTCAGACAATTGATTGACACTGAAAAATTCATGTAATCAGTCCCGGCAAAGTTGGAATTAAGGTGACATTGATGATGATCAGATTTACCTTCCAAATGGCACTGCTCAACTTGGCAAATGCTTCAACTTGAAGGAACTCGGGTAACACCTGAGAAGTCCAATTCAAAGAATCAGAAGAATAAAGATTAGAAATGAATAAAACCTTGTGGAAGGAGTGATGAGACAAACTCTTACTTCAGGACTTGAAGCAGCATAGTTTGACAATCTATCCATCAAGCGTGATAAAACAGTCTTGATGTCAACAGCGGGCTATAATAATAATAATAAAGTATGCCATTAAATATTTTATCATTTGAAAGTTGTTAGCAACTACATTTAACCGATAGAGCACTTCAGGCATAAATGATTATCTGCTACCTACTTGAAGTTGGGGACAAGCACTCAATAGTATTTCAAGAGTCTGCAAGTGGTACTCATCAGGAAAGACCTGAATTATGCAGTCCATCAAATAATGTTGTGCAAGCACTTCCTTACAGTTGACAACCTGTGAGAAGCAATTTACTAGTCCCTTATACATGACAAGATTGCATACGATGATTTTCTACCGAAAAGAAAATGTGTACTACACAGTCTTACCTGCTCCAGTACTCGAGGAAGCACGGTCTCTCTATATATTTCAAGGTCAACACCCTCTATCTGACTAAGAACATGCAAATTCTTCCCTACCTAAAATATGATTGAAATAGCTGAATATCTTAAGAAATCAAACGGTTGGGATGTAATCAGAAAAGTTCAATGGTGTTCAGCCAAAGATCTTACAAGATCTCGAAGCTCGCTCCGTTCCTTTTCCAGCTTCTCTTCAATCCTGGCAGGTCCCTGCAGACCAGAAAGCCCGAAAGAGGGCCTGAACTCAGGATCACCTAAGCAAATGAATGTATCACAATCACTATAACACCTGCATGGCCAAAACATGCTTTCATGATTCATTCTTATCTTCCTAGAGAATGTATTTATTCAGATGCCATGCATGTGAGATGTGAAACCAACTAAGATTTTGACAAGATCTCTATAACCTGATGTTGCATTCTAACCCATAGTTTATTCATCTCTATGAAGTTTTGCAGCACAAAATCCACAGCATCCATGACAGTATCACCTTCTCTGTGTTAAGAATAGTAACATAGCTTATCATGAGATACTAGCCAATTGGGCGATGAGTTAAACAGCCAACATAGTTTCAAAAAATACAAGTATCTCTCTGCAGCCTATGTTGGTTAATTCCAGTCCAGAATATAGTTTAAGTTTAAAAATAAATAAGTAAAAAAAAAAAAAAAAGGTAGACAGTCAGGCAGTTAGGCAGTTACTAGTTACAGGCAGTTTTATGACAGTTTCCAACAGATGTGTTGGTTAGAAACTGTTGTGTCTATTTGTAATGGTTGTGTTGTTTAGTCCTCTATTTATATGTATGGGCACATTGTTCTGGAAAGCAGTTCCACAATAAAAACACACTGTTTCTATACTTTAGATCTGTCATTATTTCTCTCAATTGGTATCAGAGCCCTGGTTAAGAAAAAAATCAAACACAGATCTGTGATCAGTAGTTGTCTTGCAATACGCCTGAAAAACAATAGTCTGTGATGGAGGCCATCAATACTAAGAAAACAAACGATGTTGTTGCTGTTACCCCAGTTCGAGATGGAGGCTCGACAACGTACCAATGTCCTGTACTCACTACAACAAATTATACATCTTGGGCTATCAAGATGCAGTCGTTTATGGATGCCCAAGGAATTTGGGATGCCATAGAACCACCGGATGCGACGGAGGTGGACGTCAAGATCCGGAAGAAGNTTTCTCAAAGTGCATATTATCTGACAATGCACAACAAAATAATAAATGATGGTTAAATAGAAGCAGCTGGATCAAAACGATGTGGACAAAAATATTAGAAAAGATTATGAAGCACCAAAATTGTAATGGAACAACAAGCCTCCACTGAATGATTGAGTGAAGTGTCTTCAAATATAAGGATGCACATGGCATCCTTGCTTCACTTTTTCCAAATTCAATTTTTTGTTCTCTTTTTCCTTTTTTTTCTGGCTTGGTTAATTTTTATAGTAAACCTATTTTCCAACATAAAAATCTATGTGCAATAAAAAGGGTCAGGGAAAAAGAATGGGAATGAATGGAACTAAAATGCCAATTTCATAGCACCTTCCAATGTTTGTCACTTAAAGGTATACTAGGGTATTAGACCAATAAGTCTTTTCCATATCACTCCCTTATCCTTTTCACTTCCCATAGTAAGTGAAAAGTTGACGGTGGCAGCCACTGTTTTTGGAAGTTGGAGAGGTGATCACTGCAGAGTTGGGTGATAGGAGAAAAATGAGAAAACAATCTTCCATTTTCATACAAAAACAACATTCCCAGAAAAACCCCACAGAGTGGGGTGTGCACAAAACATACCCCTACTTGATAAGTAGAGAGGTTGTTTCCCCAACACCCCAACTCAAAACACAAGAGAACAATGACAGAAGAAAGTAGCACAAAGTAAGAGGATAAACAAAAACAAACACACATGCAGAAACTTTAAATTTAGGCACAAAAGCACACAAGCAGAAACTACAAACCTAAGCACAAAAGAACACAAACCATAACTACATCCATTTTTCATATTTGAAAGAAGAAGAGTAATTACCTTTAACATCTCATCTGAATCATCATTATATAACATGTGTACTAGCCTAGCAACAGAATTTTGTTCCTCCTTGAAATCCTCATCATCAAGCTATTAGACAACACAACATAAAATCAAGAAGCCATTTATTAATAGCAATATAAAATTTTGTGATAAAATCAAAAAATTTAGTCCATTATTTACTTGGAAGTAAAACATTGTCAAATAAAGAGGTTACTAGTTAATGATGTCAATGACACCAATATGCTAGTTAGAGAGTAATTTAAATAATTTATCATAATTTGTTTGTTAAATATGAATTGTAGAACTAATTTTCAACTGACTCATTAATTAGTAAATACTACCTCCGCCCCGGAGTATTTGTCCAGTTTAGACTTTTTTCAGTCGATTGTTTTCAACCATTGACCTAAAATTAAATATAAATATTGTATATTAATTAGATAAAATAATATTTTGAAAACATTTTATATAATAAATCTAATAAAACTATATTTGTATCAATATCTAATATCATATTTATTTAACTTGGAACCAAAGTTTACCAATTTTGACCAAAAAAAGTCAAAAGTGAACAAAACTCCGGAACGGAGGGAGTATGAATCAAAAGATACTGGGCCCATAATGCTCCTAATAATTTTTCATCAACTTGTAGGTGTTATACTCCATTCTAAAATGATCTTTCCAAAGTTTCTTAATATAATGCCACCATCAGGAGTTGTATTCCGTGAGAGAATATTTGCACATCCTTTCAAGAGCACCCTTTTCCCATGTTGATGATAGCATCCGCCAATGGCCTCTTTTTTAAAGGTGTATATGATTGTTCACTAATGAATGTAAGTGGTTGAGTGGCTGGCTTTTTGGCTCTCTAGTATATTTGTTGCCAATCAGAGATCCTAAAAAAATTGATGTTGTCAAAATTTATCTCCAAATTATTTTGGCATTTTGGTCTTCCAAAATTTATCTTCCAAATTATTTTGTGTAGTTCATATTATATTTTATTTTTAAATCAAGGGAGAACTACCAAAATATGACTAAAACATGTTTCATTTACCGAAATAGGACTTTCAATGTTTTTATACCGAAATAAGACGTATAATGTCAAAGTGTGTGCCAAAAACAATATGAAATACCAACATACAACAGCAAGTTGTGGCATTACATAGTGCCAAGGGTCCTATTTAGGGGATAAAATATAGGAGGTCCTATTTTTGATACAAATTACACTTTATTAAACATTGTGCCAAGTAAAATGGAGAAAAAAATTATGGGACAGAGGGATTAAATCATTAAAAATGAAGAAATTCAATAGGTACAATGAATTTAGAAATTAGAAGGTTTTTTATATGAACCAAATATTGAATGGCTTAAACATTATTAGGTGAAATGCTAACTGCCTGTGTAAACTATAAATCAAATGGATGAATTGGATTCAATCCATAAATTTAAACATCTTTGATGGATGAGTGGATAGACCCCATAGATTTAATTTTCTGATGAACTAGATGGAATAGTGAACAGATTGGCTCTTTTGTCACCCCTATTGGGACTAATTCCATAGAAGTGCTATAAGCCTCTAAATAAATGTCATCAATACGAAAACCAAGAAATCCAAGTGTAAGATAATGAAATATTGAACCTCATTAGTAGAGCTTCCATCAAAATCTTTGATGAGGCCCTTTATCAACTCAAACAAAACCTCAACCTGAAAAGAAAGACAAATCCAGCTGCTGGGTCGTAGACTCATAGGTCAAAAACAGATTAAACAAAAGTAAATCAGCGAGTTTAGTACCTTGTCAGCAGTAGACACACAGGTATCCCTTTTCATTATGTTTTCAATTATAATTTTTGACATGATTTTATTTGTTCCGGCATCAAGGTGATCCATGACTCGTGGATAGTTAGAGAGTGTTAGAGCTGTGACAATATCACTGTACTTCTCTAATGGCGCACTGAGGAGAGCAACAATTTGTTTTGTCGCTTTACTATCATTAAGCTTTGGTTTACCAGAGAGTTTCTTAACACAAGCTCCCTGTCAATAGTAGAAGCACAGACAAAACAAGAAGAAAAAAACAGCTGAATTATGGGATAATAGGGATCAAAGATGTACTGAAGGGATTCAAACTCATCATATCAATTCATTTTGGATTGTATGTGTTACATATGACCTCGTGACAGAATTTGTTGGAGAGGCTTGGTAGTTTTTGTAAATGTCAGATTCTTCCTTTTCCAAAAGTTCAAAAAGGAAAAATAATATATAAGGTACACATCTTAGTTTAAGAATGAGTCACATATTCTTTCCACCTAATTTATATAAGTGTCAGCCATTATTGATGGGTGTAAGTACAATGCTACAGATCCATGAGTGTTATAGCAATTCAAGTTATCACTACATGAGATGTGGCAGTGACACTGCACAAACAAACTACTGACTCATACTCTTTTGTCATCAAAAAGAAAAATACTTACCAATACTTGATCCACATAATCAAGTCGATCAGGATGTACACGAAGTGTAAAAGTCAAAAGAGAGACATACAACGAAACAGCTCCAACTATAGGCATGTCAACTTGTGCTTCTGCTACCTGGCATTTGAAAATCTGTTAATTTCTTGAAAGAATAGCAACATCACTCGCAACTGCATTCTCGTACAAACAGAGCCCTGAACTATTAAAAAGAAGAAACATTTTTTCCTGATAAACTTAAATATAAGAAACACATTAATCTGAAAACAAATATAAGTGATCCAAGTGTTACTTTTGAGGGTTTAAGTAAACCTAACAGTTTCTTCACTTCTTGACTTCTTGTAAACACATATTTCACTACTATAAAACTACATTTATGTAATAACAGAATAGCATGCGCTTATATTTCATATACATTAATAAACTACAGTAGCAATCACCAATCTTGTGATGTCTGAAATTATTTGATGTACCCAAATTACCGAAAAGAATCTTTGTCGTCAAGAAAATGGTGTTGAAGATATGTGGAGGACTTTGTATTGCCACAACATAGTCATGATAAAACAAGAGTTCAATGAAAAGAGAAGTAAAACTAAGTCAACAGAGTAACAAGAACATTACAACAACAACAACATTATCCCAGTGCCTCAAAGGCTCCCACGCATTGCAGGGTATGGGGGGTCGAAGTAACAAGAACATTATAGCAAGAAGTATAATTTGCTGCATTAATCTTATATTGTAATTACTTTCAGACAATTGATTGACACTGAAAAATTCATGTAATCAGTCCCGGCAAAGTTGGAATTAAGGGGACATTGATGATGATCAGATTTACCTTCCAAATAGCACTGCTCAACTTGGCAAATGCTTCAACTTGAAGGAACTCGGGTAACACCTGAGAAGTCCCATTCAAAGAATCAGAAGAATAAAGATTAGAAATGAATAAAACCTTGTGGAAGGAGTGATGAGACAAACTCTTACTTCAGGACTTGAAGCAGCATAGTTTGACAATCTATCCATCAAGCGTGATAAAACAGTCTTGATGTCAACAGCGGGCTATAATAATAATAAATAATAATAATAAAGTATGCCATTAAATATTTTATCATTTGAAAGTTGTTAGCAACTACATTTAACCGATAGAGCACTTCAGGCATAAATGATTATCTGCTACCTACTTGAAGTTGGGGACAAGCACTCAATAGTATTTCAAGAGTCTGCAAGTGGTACTCATCAGGAAAGACCTGAATTATGCAGTCCATCAAATAATGTTGTGCAAGCACTTCCTTACAGTTGACAACCTGTGAGAAGCAATTTACTAGTCCCTTATACATTACAAATTGGAAACGATGATTTTCTACCGAAAAGAAAATGTGTACTACACAGTCTTACCTGCTCCAGTACTCGAGGAAGCACGGTCTCTCTATATATTTCAAGGTCAACACCCTCTATCTGACTAAGAACATGCAAATTCTTCCCTACCTAAAATATGATTGAAATAGCTGAATATCTTAAGAAATCAAACGGTTGGGATGTAATCAGAAAAGTTCAATGGTGTTCAGCCAAAGATCTTACAAGATCTCGAAGCTCGCTCCGTTCCTTTTCCGGCTTCTCTTCAATCCTGGCAGGTCCCTGCAGACCAGAAAGCCCGAAAGAGGGCCTGAACTCAGGATCACCTAAGCAAATGAATGTATCACAATCACTATAACACCTGCATGGCCAAAACATGCTTTCATGATTCATTCTTATCTTCCTAGAGAATGTATTTATTCAGATGCCATGCATGTGAGATGTGAAACCAACTATATTTTGACAAGATCTCTATAACCTGATGTTGCATTCTAACCCATAGTTTATTCATCTCTATGAAGTTTTGCAGCACAAAATCCACAGCATCCATGACAGTATCACCTTCTCTGTGTTAAGAACAGTAATATAGCTTCTCATGAGATACTAGCAAATTGGGCAATGAGTTAAACAGCCAACATAGTTTCGAAAAATACAAGTATCTCTCTGCAGCCTAGCATCATAGCTCCTAATTTATGCACTACAAAGGGCATTCATATACTGCCAGGTGCACAAAAATTGGAGAAAGGCAGAACTTTTACCTTTCATACTCCGAACCAATGTCTGGCAACTTATCCCTGCTAATTTGAGCAAGATAGCTCCTTAGAAAAAGTCCACGTATAGGATGTTGTACGGCACGACACATTTCAACAAGGTCTTTCAGTATATCCTTTGCAGGAGCCTCCTTTGATTTGATGTACACTGAGCCAACAGTACATAGGAGATACCTGACATAATGCCATATTTCATTTACATATATTCACTATAAGAAATCAGATTCCTGAATTAAGGCCATATTCTCTTCAACTTATTCTTATTACTTATTACTTTTTCTTATTGGAATAAGATCAGAAATAGTTTTAAATATAATTACATTCAGATCAGATCAGACCAGACCAGAACTTATTCCAATCAAATCAGAACCATCCATATGAGGTGAAGAGAACATGGCCTAACATGTCATGTACTGATGTACTAATGTCCAAAGTCCAGCAGCAACAACAACCTAGTAGGATCCTACGAAATTAGGGTCGGGGGAAGGTGTGTGTACCAATGCTCAAAATTACATATTGAGATTTCGAGGCATTTTTATGTCAAGTCGCATTGAGGCGTAAGCCTCAAATTTAAACTTCAAAAGTCTGGATATAACATTTTAGTGGGATTCAGCTAGGTTGTTGTTGTATGTAGTCTGGATATAACATTTTAAGCGATCTGTTTAACTAAAATAACAAAATTAAAAATTTATATATGTAAATGAGAAATTAATAACAATAAAAATAAAAAACCTTAAATTAATGCTGAATTAATTGTGCAGGTTGAGCCAGGGGTCTCTTGGAAACAGCCTCCCTACTTCCGAGTAGGGGCAAGGTCTGCGTACACACACCCTCCCAAGACCTTACTGTAGTGGGATTCAACTGGGTTGTTGTTGTTGAGTCAGAATTGATTGCTAACATTGAACAAATATACATGGGTAAAAACAAATGGAGCGATAAAACTTAAGTAGCCTGGACGCCGATCAGATATCAATTGGCATCCAGGCTACTTAAGTTTTATCACATCAGACCAGATCAGATCCAATCAGATAAGACAGATCAAATCATATCATGTCCTATCAAATCATATATAAACATTATTATTATTATTACTATTAGTATTATTTTATTCATATTACTATTACTATGATTATAATTACTATTGTTATTGTTATTATTATTACTATTATTATTATCACTATTGATATTAATCTTATTGTTAATATTATTATTATTATTATTATTATTATTATTATTATTACTATTATTATTACTACTACTACGAATATTAATATTAATATTATTATTATGATTATAATTATTATTACTATTTTTATTATTACTATTTCTATTACTATTATTATTATTACTATTATTATTATTATTGTTATCAATATTTCTACTATTATTATTATTATTATCATTTGTATTATTATTTTATTACTATTCTTATTATGATGGTTATTATTATTACAATTATCATTACCATTACTATTTTAACTATTATTTTTATTATTACTATTATTATTATTATGATTATAATAATTATTACTATAATTATTATTATTATTACTATTAATAATATTATTATTATTACTATTATTATGATTTATTATTATTGTTACTATTATTATTATTTCTATTATTATTACTAGTATTATTATTATATATATTATTATTATTATTTCTATTTTCTTCTTATTATTATTATAACTATTATAATAATAATTTTAATTTAAATTTAAAATGAATTTATATCAGATCAGATCTAATCATATCAGACCAGATCAGATTCAATCAGATCAGATTAGATCCAATCAGACCAGATCAGATCTTTAAATAATCAGATCAGATCAGATAAGGCAAACAGAATGCAGCCAAAGTCAATACTCTATAAACCCTTAAAAAATACTATATAAAAACCAACAAGAATCTGAGAGTGATAAGGAAGATGATGATGCCCGACGAATAATTCAAAAACGACAATAATAAGAATACTCCATAAAATTTACCTGGCAAAAAATAGAGGTGATAGATGAGTAGAGGTGCATAGAAATCGAAGAAGAAAGATGATGCTCCACGAATAGGAGAGGCGATCTACTAGGGTTAAGGCTTAATTATGTAGTTTAACTTTTGGGTTTTTTAAATGAATTACTTATTTAACCCCAATCTTAATTTCTTAGGGAGAGACATCGTATACGCTTCTAATAGTCTCATGGCGTACGCCTCAAAAAGCTTCCGTCATCGCCCGCTATATTTGCTTATTACCTCCTACACCCTTGTTGCGCAATGGCTACATCACCATGGGGCGTAATTTTTTTGGAAATTGCCACGAGGCGCGCCATATGGCAGGTTACGTCATGCCATTTTGAATAGTGATGTGTACGTAGATCTTACCCCTACAAACCCCAGCAACACAGAAAATACATGGCAAGATAAATATAAAAGAGCAAACTAAGGGTGCGAAAAGCGCAAGCAGGCAAAGACACACAAGGAACTGGAAGCAACAAGACCCCAAGCCCATGAAATACACAACAAAAAAATCAAGAAATACGACTCATATCCAAACAACTATCCAACTACCCTAGTAGTGCTAAACGTTTTTATCTGAGATCATTTCCTCATTCCTCATTCTTAGGCCTACTCCTTCCCCCCACCCCACCCACTATTGCTAGCCTCTCGCATCTCCACACTGGGGCCTCAATGTTACGTTATTTCATGTGACCAAATCATCTCAACCTAGTCTCTCGTAGCTTATCCTCCATGTATTTCACTCCCACCCATCTCCAGATAACCTCATTCTGATTCTATCAAACATCGTCTGCCCACACATCCATACCAAGAACTTTACCCACCCTAAAAATAACATTGAAGAATTTGATTACCCAAACCAACACATTTTTGCCCGCCGACTTCCAAAACTCCATCGAGATCTCATCCGGCCCAAGGATCTCCTCCTCATTCCTTGGATAGCCCTCACCACCTTCACTTCACTAATGCACCGACAATACCCAGAGTCTCAATGTCTCTCCCACTCATCTACCTCATTTCTCCTTTTGCATTCAAAAGGCCATGGAAGTATCCTCTCAAAACAAAGAAAAATATAATTAGATGAGGTAAGTACCATAACAAATGTTATGACATATCTGTTGGGATATCCTCCCTACATGGAGGAATGACTTCCTAAACCACACATTTGATGTTAAATATCATATTGGTTTAGGGGTGCAATTAAAATAATAATAATAATAATAATAATATCAATATTACATTGTTATGATTGGGCTCAAAGTGGGGCTGGACCATTTGAAAAGGTGGCAACTAAAATCAAAGAATTTAAAAGGCTTGGTACTTGGCAGTAGCCTTTCACGGAACAACCGCAGAAAAGAGAGAGACCAGAGTTTTGAGCCGAGAGAGAAAGGGAGAAAAAGAGAGTTGCAATCCAGGTTTTGCGCTCTGATCTACGACCAAACGAACTCCAATTGGGATGAACTTTTAGTTTGTTTTTCCAGACATCATTCTCTCCATATCCAACGGTGGGATTGTTGTTTTGGCCTCTCGACAATGGTAAACTTGTCCTGTGTTTGCTGCTGCATTTTTTGGGTATTTCTCACTCTTTGAGTGAAGATTATTGTTGTTTGGTGTTCTAAGTTCTTACTTGATGATTGTGTATACCTCTAACTGATTTAGAGAGGATTCTTGGTTATACCTGCTGAATTTCTTAGTGATTAGTGGAAGGTGATTGGTACTGTACTTACGGTCCCGTGGTCTTTTCCCTGACTTGGGCTTTCCACATAAATCTTGGTGTCTGTTTATTGCTTGATTGATTATTATTTTTGGTGTGTTTACTATTCTTGATCAGTCATATGATTTTGCTCATTTTGACAACACAAAGACGGAAAATTATTAATTGCTTCCGCTAGAAACTTGAGGTAACTTTCCCAACAATGTCCATTAATTTTTGTTTGTCAGAGGTATCCATATTATTTTTTCTCAATCTAAGGTAAAACAAGGACTCCTACATTTCAATCTCCAAAGAGCCAGGGCAAACAATTGAGAAAGAACATATTAGGTAACACGGCTAATTTCTATATAGTGCCATATCAACCTATACTTAGTAATGTGTATCTTGTTTTGAACACTTCTCAATTCTCATACATGTTTCCAAAATAGTTCATGACGCACGGGGTGCACAATTGTGCATGCACTCTTTGAAAAGCATGTAGTAATGTCTTGAAACTTCAAATAAATATGCATTCCCTTGTGTCCAAAAAAATAATCATGAGGGATGCAATGAAGTAATTCAGTAAAGCCAGGTTGAAGAGACTAACAGTCTAGGCAGAACATTGCCAGCATGTTGGACAAGTTCGTATAGGTCAACAATTGAACATCCATGGCGATCCTCATCCTTAAAGAACAGCTCCAGCTTCCTTAACTCATCGAATGCTCGCATGTCTACCAACATTGTACATAAAAAAAACACATTATATGAGTTGAAAACACAAAAGGCAACGAAAAAAACGGATCAGTGGAACATACAGAGCACGTAGTATTTATGCGGCGGAAGTCTCGAAGTTCGCAGCTCGGACAACAATTGAGCAGAGTACTTGAGAGCTTCTCTGAGATTATTCGAATCCTGCGACACAGTGAATCGGGATTGTGATTAGTGATACGGTTAGGGTTCACACATGATGATAAAGTGGCAATTTCAAAGATACCATAGCTCGATGCAAGTAGAAGGCGTTTTGCTGAATTCCTGCGATGCCTTCTGCGAGCCATTTCTCTTCATCTTCGATTCCGTCTCCGATCATCATCTCCGCGGATTGCCAGCTCTCCGACGCAGGACTCCACTCGAATCTTCTGATGATTCAGTTTCTCGGGGTGACACCTCATTGAAGCTGTTTAAAGCCCGTTTGGTAATTTCTTTAGAAATTAACTCTAGTATTTTAAACTATTTTGAAAAAGTTATTTACTTCCGTTAATATTTTTAAAATTAATTTACATCATTAAAATTTTATTTAAAATGTTAATATATTTCAAAAATGTTGTTCTCAAAAAAAATCTAGTTCTCTGTTTGTAGTATGTAGGTACTTCACATTAATACAGATGATACATAGTACAATATTCAAAAGAATATCATAATATAAAACTCAAAATTAAAAATTAAAAAAAAACATTGTTATCTACTACAATATTTTTTTTGAAGTTTTATCTATTTTATTAATTTAAATGCCTTACAAAGAAAAATATTTTATTTTTAAAACAAAAGCCCAATCTTGAGTGACATGACGGGTAAGTCTTTTTTTTGCCATTTTGATATTCTTTTATCAAAATAACAATAGCCTAGATCTACTTTCTTTCTTCTAAAAAACAAAAAGAAAAAGAACATGTATACCTCTCACAAGTCACGCTAATCATAGCAATGCTCCTTCCATTCCACGGTAAACAAGTAAAAGTGTGAAGTGGTAGGGTCTGGCACAGAAAAAGTCGTCATTGCCCGTGCTCTTAAGTAAATAGAAATCATCAATTTTTCAAATAATATAATAAAACAAAATCAATTGAACAAGTGTCCTAATACGACACTCGAAATGAGTGTTATAATAACCTAGTTATTTAAATTTTACCATGTAAGGAATATTTGTTTGAAAATTGATATAAGATTAGAAACTACAGAGTAAAATTTGAATACTACATATTTGAAAATAAAAGCTACGCAAAACAAAAAGTAAAATGAATATACAAGTTATCAGTGAAAACACTTACGGAGTATATGCAAAAATATTAAGAGATATTGAAATAATAATTAAAAATTTATTTGGTAAAAAGAGATAACAATTTCACAAAATAAATGATTGAATAAAATTTATTTAAATGTACTAGTATATTTTTCCACTTCAACCTTGTGCGTCAAATTAGAAAAACTTTGATCATTAATTAGATATATACATAGTGTTAAATTGCATAATAACAAAATAAAATACATTTTTTAAAATATTTTTGAAAATAAATCTAAACTTTATTCACTTTCTTTTACAGTACTGTTTACATTATCAAACTTTTTACTATTTACATTATCAAATTACATTTCTCGTTTACTATTTACATTATCAAACTGTATTCACTTTCTTTTCTTATTTTTATTAATTTTTTGATAAAATAATATAGTTCTGACGCCACTAACTTTGTAGATCTTTTGATATAATTTTTAAATATGTACGAGTAATTTTTATTTTTTAATTATACAACATTTTTTCATATAAAATAGTTTGTAAATAACTTCAGTCAAAAATTATAAATCAAAATAAGTAATTTAAATTAGGATGCAGGAAGTACAGTTTTCAGAGTAAATTTTACTACTATCTTCGTCTCTGAGTATTTGTCTAGTTTTAACTTTTTTCAGTTAATCGTTTAATCTTTAACTTATTATTAAATAAAATATATATTATATATTAGTTAGATAAAATAATATTTTAAAAATATCTTATATAATAAATCTAATAAAAATATTTTTATATCAATACTTAATATTTTTATAAAATTCTTTAACTTATTATAGTTAATAAATCAAAGTTTACCAATTTTTATCTAAAACTTGGCTGGCACGAACTACACCAACGGCCTGCGAGCCTGGGAAAATTGGGCTTCTGGTGGCGGCGAAGGCAAATGCGGCCCAAAGGCTCTCATAACGTGGCGACTGGCAATCCACAAAACCCTCTCAAAACCTCCTCCAATTTCAGGCGTTCCTGCATCTTCCTCCCGGCGTGCGACTGACCGAGAATCTCAGATCTCCGGAGATGAGGAGGCTTCATGGAATCTCCGCCGCATTCCAATCCGCCAAGGTCTTTGCCACCGTCACAGCGCGAAACACGGAGCACCGGCTGATCCAGTCGGCTCTCTACAGCACCCGCAACAGTTCATCCTCCATGTCGCACATCTTCTCCAATAATAAGCACGATGATCAGTCCTACCGTCCCTCTGCCAACGTCGTATCCGGAACAGTGCTTTTCTCCGTCGCCGCTTCAACGCTGGCCAAAGAGGCTCACGCCAAAGAGCCGATCCCGCCTAACTTTCGCCCCAATGATGTAGTTCTGTACCAGTACGAAGCCTGCCCCTTCTGCAACAAGGTCAAAGGTATTCGTTTCCTTGTTTCTTAGTATTTGAGAAATTTCAGCGTATTTCGAGCATCATTATCAATGCTGTTTTATTTAGAAACTAACTCCGAGACTGGAATTGTTGGAAAAGAATAATTTGATTACAATTTCGTAGTAGATTTCTCGCTTTGCTATTGTCTGGCAGCCTGATGGTGATTATTGATCTGCCTTTTATCAGCATTCCTTGACTACTATGACATTCCATACAAAATTGTGGAGGTTAACCCCCTTAGCAAAAAAGAAATCAAGTGGTCTGATTACAAGAAAGTGCCCATATTGATGGTTGATGGCACACAAATGGTGGATTCATCAGGTTTCTTTCTATGCATTTATTTGATTTTTGTTTCTTAATCATCATTACAGCATCATACTTCATATTAGCTTACATTTTCCCATTCGTATGAAGTGAACTAAAGTGCATGACTTTATGTTAACCTGGAGCTGAGTATAGCTTTAGGATGTAGCCTTTTGTTAGGTTGATTTCCCAATTTATGGCTCTTATTGGATGTAGACATAATTGATAAGCTGTCTCAAAAGGTTCGGCCAAATATTGGTAATAAGTCTACTTCAAACAATGATGAAGAGAACAAGTGGCGCAAGTAAGCACTTTTTTTCTCTCATTCAGATGATGAACAGTTCTGAAGTGATACTTTTGCATTGCGAAACATCTTGAAATCCAAAATATATGTATGGTACTCAATCAGGAAGTGTTATTATCATGAAATAATGATGGATATATTCTTGAGTTAGGTGGGTGGATAATCACTTGGTGCACATCTTATCTCCAAATATATATAGAAGTGCTTCTGAAGCTTTGGAATCATTTGACTACATCACCACTCAAGGTAATATTGTGCATTACAATATGATGGAGTACTAATATTTTCCATTTTTTCACATGAATGATGTTCAAAGCAGCGGGTTGGTTGGTAGATTGCCAATATACATGCAAATGTGCAACCCAATACAAGAGACATGTAGAATGAAATTTTTACAAAATGAAAGTTTTGCTTCAAAATTTATTAAGTGTTTCATAACTCAAATTTTTAAGTATTATTTTGCTTCATTTTTAATTATATTATAACTCATGTTTCAACTTTCTTGGCAGCTTGTATTTTCTGAGCAAAGTGATATATTCTAGAATTTACTCATTCCGTCCCATAACTAGAATCTTACTTGGAATTCACACAAATTAAGACAAATTTTAAGTGTGTTTGACGTTCCAATTTTGTCCTTGAAATGATAGTTTGAAAATGTAACGTGAAGGTGGGAAGTAAATAGGGGTGGGTAGAAAAGTGGTGGAAAAAGATAGGGGTGTTATAATTTTCTGTATTTTCAATGGGATAGGTAAACCTAAAATTGAAATGGGACATTAGTTTTGAAATGCCAATTATGCAGAGAGGGAGACCTTAGTTTTGGGACGTAGGGAGTATCCGAGTATTGGGAATTGGGATGCCAACATTAGTTTTGGCAGCTTATACAGACATATGGAGGTTGCAATTCGTTATGGCATTCTATAAAAATAGATATTAGTGAACACCACATCAAACAAGCTGACAGATTCTGCTCTTTTATGCAATTTGATCTTGAGGAAATTATTTAGAAATCTTTAACTTGTTCAGGAATCTTCACATTGAATATCAATAAGGCCGTGACTTGTAACATCAAGAACAAAGTTTTTACGGGAACTGTTAGTTTTACCAACTCTTCAGATAAAAAAAATGATGACTATAGAAGTGTTTAGTTTCTACTCCCTCATCTCAAATTAGCTTATCATTTTCATTTTTTCCCCGTCTCAATATTACTGTCATGTTTCATTTCAAGGAAAGAATTGCACTTGATGTATCTTTCTTCCCACCCGGTCATGTTTCAAACGACATACCCTTGTCCTCCGATTCACTTGTGCTTACTTTTTTGAGCAGGCAATTTCAGCTTTTATGAGAGAACGGTGGCAAAGTATGCAGGAGCTGCAGCTATGTATTTCGTATCCAAAAATTTGAAGAAAAAATACAACATCACCGATGAGCGTGCATCATTGTATGAAGCTGCAGAGACGTGGGTTGATGCTTTGAACGGCCGTGATTTTCTAGGTCTGCACCATCTATCTCCATTCTTGTTATTCATGCACCACGCATTTTCGTTCATACACACTTCATGTCTCTGGTTTGTCTCAATATGATGCATGGATGTTTTCATGATTGTTAACAGGCGGGTCTAAACCTAATTTGGCTGATCTTGCCGTATTCGGTGTGTTGAGACCTATCCGGTACTTGAAATCGGGTAAAGACATGGTGGAGAACACACGCATCGGCAGTTGGTACTCTAGGATGGAAAGTGCGGTCGGGCAACCTTCCAAGGTTCAGGCTTAGCTTTGCGCCTCACCCCTCTATGCCGTGCTCCGACGAGCCCCAATACAAGTTGCATTAACAATATTTTGTTGCAAATTTTGAGATACAGAACCAATATCTTTATTGTTTCTTTCCTGCAAATAATACATGGAGACTGATACTTTTTCACCACCCTATCACTCACGGCAAGAGCGTGATGTTATAAATGTATGTAGTAGTTTCAAATCAGGTTTTGCTTTGATTTAGGGTTAGTTGGTTGGTATCACATGGGGCAGGGCAGGGCAGGGCAAGGCAAGAAGAGACAATTGGAGTAGTTGGGTGGGGGTTCTTCACGGGGGTGGACAGTATGCATTTAAAATGCCGTGGGACGTGAGGACTTAAACAACACACACTTGTTACTACTAGCGGGGGACCCCTTCAAATATACGCTATCCCTTCCATTTTACAACGTCTAGTTTGACTTGTGTACATTTTTTTGTTGCAATAATGTTCACATTTTAATGCTCTCTTAAACTCAGTTTTGTTACGATTGACATTTATTTGAATAATGCGGTGGTTTGGCTATAGACTAAAGTGGCGATCAAGTGAATTATAACCTGTAAGGCCTGTGTGTGGATCATGGACATTTCTCCCTTTTAAATTGTCAAATAATGATTACGTTGTACCAGGTTTTCAAGTCTAAAACCAGTCCGAAAAAAATCGTTCCCGACTGGAAATTTTTAGGTGTGGGTTCCGAACTTACCTTATTTCCGATAATAAATTTTCTATTTTTTTCCATTTTGGTCCAGGCTAGTTTTAGATAGGTGTTCGCCCCTACCTCTATGCCATTTAGAATTTAGAAACATGGTTACCATTAGTGATATTATTGTTAAGAATGAGATTATGGTATATGAACTATTTTTTGAAAATTACAAGAGCTTTTATTTCTTTGTATATTTTGATCAAGTATTTGATACAATGAAATATTTTTATTATCTCTTAATAGTTTTTGAAAAACTTTTGAGATATTTTTTAAATTTTTAAATTTTATTTTTTATTTATATACTCCATCTGTCCCATTTTAAATTATCTGTTTGCCTTTTTTCTCCGTCTCAAAATAAGTTGTCTGTTACTTGTTAGCGTAAACTTTTAAGAGTAAAATACCTAAACTACCCTAAAGTAAGTCACTCTTATCCACCTTATCTCTCCATGCATCGTCACTCCTCCTAAAAAGTAATGACAATTTCGAAAAAATCAACTCTATTTTTTATTTTCCTTAAATATGCTCAAAAAGTAACGGCAATTTTCGGAAAAATTTTCATTCCCATGCGGAGCCAAAGATTCACTATTTTTGGCTTTGGAGTATGATGGAATAAAGCAAATTGGCTCTCTAAACTGTCTGCGCTTCTTGTCATTGTGAAGTAGCAGTTGGTTAATGCAATTTTCGACTTTCATCACTGGTCATCTGAAAACAGCCGCTCTATGTTTTAAACATAGGCGTCATACTGCATACATCCGACCCACCTTACCTCGCAATGGGCGGGAGCCGTTGAGGCATGGGGGTAATGCTATCGTTGTTGTTTCTTTGCCCAAAAGTCAAAACAGACAATTTAAAACGGGACGGAGGGAGTACCAATTTTTAGATAAAATAAATTATAAAAAACTTAGAAATTTTTTAAAGTGATAAACATTTTAGGAGGGGTAGGTAGTTTTTCACATATTTCCCAAAAAAAAGGTTTTACCAGCACGAGTAAAAGACTTCACTTCCTTGTGTGATGGGGGACCCGTGGAGTTAAAAGATACGGAGCAAAAAAACAAAAATGCAAACAAAAAAAAAGATATGGAGTACGACCATTTTTTTTCCAACTTTAATTTCCTTTTCATGTGAATGGCCAATTTCGCAGCGTTGTTGTGTTGACCAAGGAAAATAAATAAAGTCTGACTTTGCAGGGAGATGTGTCAGTCCTATAGTACCAAACAAACAAAGATATTGGCAAAAGTTAAAAAAAAAAAGAGAAGATGAAATAATAATTAATAATAACAGGCCGGGTTAAGACTGCAAATAATCCAGCGGCGACATGAAGGAAGCTTTTCAAAGCAAAAAGTGGAAAGATTCTTTCCATCCATCTCACAAGTCACAACGACTCCATATTAACTGCTCCCATCCTATTTATACCCACACACATTACATGAAAAGGGATAGATATGTCCGTCCACCCTAGCTAGCTATACTAGGGTTGCCACCACTAGTTGAATTACTTGTCCAAAATCTAAATAGAGCTCTTGTTTTTAGAGTAAGTTTGAGAGGGTAGTAGTAGACATGATGTAGATTGATCAAAAATCAAAAGTTTTAGGTAGAAATAGAAAAACAAGTACTCTTCTTTTATATTTTTTCCATTCCTCATAGGTCTTTCCATTAACCATTTTTATTTGTCTACCATATATTTTCTCATTATCTTTTTATGAATTAAAATACCACAACTACCCTCACTTACTTTATTTATTGCACCTCACCCATCTTATTTAATACACTCCACCCATTTTCATTAAAGGTATTATAGTAAACTTTTACCTTTTTTTCAACTCTCCTTAAAAACCATAAAAAGTCAAAACGAGAAGATCTCAGGAGAACTGAGGGAGTAACATTTTTTAAAGTATGAACAGAAATTACATTATAATATAGTTAATAATTTTTTTTAAAAAATAACTTTCTTAAAAGTATTCAGGAGTGTTGGAATTATCACATTGGGAATTGAAAAGAAATACCACTATTATATTTAAAAGGTTGAAGCCATATGCATTAGTTTAAACTTTTGGATTAGGAATTTGTCCTGATTTTATACCCGGAGTATACAAGTAGATATTTTTACGAGTCACACTTCATGTTGTTCTGGACCCACCAAAATTTTAACACGGTATCAGAGCTCTTCTTGATTCTTTGGACGTGGGTTTAGAGATACAGTCACCCGTTCATAGTTTGATTGAATTGACTATAAGAGATTGAGATATCACTGTCTATTGTATTGTTAGCTATAAGAGATCGAGATACTAAATCCGTTACGCTTGTTCAAGTACTTGCCAGATTAGACTAGTTACCGCTTGAGGAGAGTGTCAGAATTATCAATTAGAAAATAAAAAGAAATAACCCTAGCATACATAGTTTGGCTACTTGAAACTTTTGAATTAGAAAGTAAATCTAGATTTTATATGTTATTACACACTTTGCTTGTTTTTCGACCAATCCCAATTTTAAGATGGAGTCAATTTTGAATTTCAGAAGTCTTAATAATCTATAAGTTGGCACAGATTAATACACACGACAAGTTACATTTAAACAATATCTCTAAACTGTTTAATACTTTATGATGCCCTAACTTCTCTTGCCTTCTTGTAATTGCTGGACTAGGACCATGGAGTTGGAATTCATCAAACATGTACGGAGTATTTTATTTTGTACTCTATTTTTATTTTTATTATTATTATTAATGCTCCAAAATAATTATTAATGTGATCGATATAAGAAAATAATGCAGAGTATTTGAGAATGCCAAGTGCCAACTCCATACATTAAAAACACGTCTGACGAAGCAGAGCAAAAACTGCAAAACCCAAAGTAAAACTTAAAAAAAAAAAAAAAGATAACTTGGGAGAAGAGATTTTTTTGTTCAGTTTTTCCCATCATTATCATTATCGTCTGCTCTAATCTGATTTTCTTCTTTACTTTGCTACAGAGTAACTAAAACGACGACTACTAACTACTACTACTAGTAGCTAGCTAGCTAGCTAGTGCCCTTCATAACTATAGGGTAGGAGGAGTCCTATAGGATAGGATAAGGATTGGGCAAAAGCTTTAATTAGGGTAGGATGACTTGTAAGCTATCTTCCTTGACTGCCGCACAGACGGGACAGGCCTCAAGAAAAACGTCACATGACTTGCAGCAGCACAGGTGTCTGCACGGAAGGAACACCACGCTCATCGCCCTCCCCGACCCGCACGTCCTGCACCCCTCCCCCGCCGTCGACCCCCCGCCGCAGCACGACTCCTCCGCCTCCCTCTCCGCCACCGCGGCTTGCCTCAGCCTTTGGCTCAGCTCTGAAACGGCGGCCTCGTTCTCCGCGGCCCTTCTCTCCCACAGCCTCGCCTCCAGTTCTGCCCCCGCCATCAAATCTTGAAGCTCCCTGTTTCTGCTCTTCGCCATTGCCAGCTCCGCCTCTCTCTGCCTCATCACCCCCGCGATTCTTGATTCGTAGCTCTGGAGAAGAGCCCCCTGCTGCCTCCTCTGTTCTTCCATCACCATCTCCCTCAATTTCTCGCTCTGTTTTTTTTTTAAAAATGTCCCAGAAAAAACCAACGATTAAAATAACAACGATATGATGGGATGCTATATGAAAATATATATATACAGGAAAAGATGCATGATATCTTTTTTTTAATACCTCAGATTGGAAGAAGAGATCCATATCGACAAGACTCTGTTTCTTGAGAGGGGGGGAGCACGGGATTTGTTGCAGAGGAGACTGGGAAGGAGGAAATGGATCGGGGAAGAGCATTAGATGGGAAGAGGAGGAAGGAGGAGGGCAAAATTGTTGGGAAGAATTGGGGATGAGAAGAGGATCTTGAGAGCAAAACCAGGTGGTGTGAACGGCCATTTGATTGAAAAGGGCAGGGCGATGGAGGAAGATGGTGGATCTTAATGTTCTCTTCTTTGGTGTTTAATTTGTTGGGTGAACATATGATGATGAGTTGGGAGGGAGGAGTGGGAGATGAGTCACGAATAGTCTGATCGATGGCCTTTAAATGCTCGCAAAGCCTTTGCTTTGCCCTTCTTTGCTTTGCGGTTTAACCGAAACCGACCCCTTCGAAAACCAAAGGATTACTTACTTAGAGTCCTTTAATTTCTTTCTTCTACTCTCCCCTCCTCTATCTTTATATATATATATATATATAGAAATGTTGGAGTTAGATTGTGAAAGAAAGTGGGAGGAGTTACATAAAATTGGAAGAATTTAAAAAATATTGGAAGAATCAAAGTATTTAAAAAAGATCAATTAAAGTATCATTCATATAAATGTGTAAAAAAAGTTTAATTTTAGATAAAAAAAGATTTCACTTTTATTCGTGCTTGAGGTGATATTTCGTAAATTTGGATATCTAATATTATTGTATATTTATTACATATTTCCTCCGTCCCTAAATAAAGTTCCTCTTTCGTTTTTTCTTTGTTCCTAAATAAACTTCTCTTTTCCCTTAAAAAAACCTCTTTTATCCCTTGCTTTTTCATACCCTACCTATCACATCATATCTTTTTACTAATAATCTATCTATCACATCTTACTTTAACACATCACATCAAGGGTATTTTTGGAAAGTTAACACCAAAATATCCCTCCATTAAATCCTTAAAAAGTCAAAAATGGAACTTTATTTAGGGACGGAGGGAGTATAAATATTCTTTTTAAGTCATTATTAAAAGAAACTGGAAGAAGTTGAAACAACTAAGAAAAAAATTGGAAAGAATTAGAAGAAGTTGAAATTTAATTTTTTAAACTTAAAAGAACAGGACTTGAGATTAGAAAATAGTAGAACACTGCTATGGATTATTTAAATATGATGTAAGCTACCTTTTTAACACGTGAAAAGGGTTTTTAATATAAAGCTAAGAGATTTCAATTAAAATAAATTTGACTATTTCTAAATTTAATACCAAGTTTAAAAAAGTCCGGGTACTTGGATCCCTAATTTGACAACAAATTACCCGAGAACTTTGTAATTTCGGTGGTTTCATGAACAATTATTTATATTTAATTACAAAAAGAAATAGATGTAAATTGCCCCGGCTGAAAAAAAATCAACATGACTTGCTTTGTTAGTTGAGCAACCAACAATGTATGTTTGTTCCATATTTTTCACCATCACCTCACATTGTATGCAAAATTGCAAACAATAATCAATTGCATTACGGCAATGCAAGTAAAATGTCAACGGCGTTGCGGATTTAATTAAGGCAAATGTTTGGACAACTTTCATAGGTGATAAAAGTGTGTGGGGTGGACGAAAATATATAGCGTGGGAGGACACACGATGATTCGAGCGCAATTGTGCAATATGCCCAACACACAAGCTCATAAGCTTGCATTCTAAACTAAGCGATAGTAGGAGAAGATATCATGAAACTTATATGTTTGACATCTTCGCTTGTTTCTTTTTTGGTGTGGGGTATATATGTAGAACCCGACACCCCCTCAAATGCAATTGTTTGGCCTTGTGTTTTTGCAAAAACGTTGCACTAGATCAAAAGTTAAACACAAGGTGAAGTTACTCTGATACCATGATAAGAGACTTGTGATCCAATCATGACGGTTCCATCTTAAAATTTGTCGTTAGAACTCCCAACAATAACAGCGATCGCATTGATAGTGTGATGAAAAAATCATGACAGTGTAATATGGCAGAGTGATTAATCAATCACTTGCAATTAACAACGGCACTCGGGTGGCCAACGGTAACAAATGACAGTGATATTGAGGCATGATGACTAGGACTACATGTCAAAATGACGGCTCACAGCATTAAAAGTTTAACGCTCCGTATAATCTATTACTCCCTCCGTCCCGTGAAACATGGGACATTTGCTTTTTATGAGGGATTTAAGAGAGTGTATTTTGGTATTGAATTTCCAAAAATGTCCTTTGATGTGATGGGTAAAGTATGATTTGATGGATAGATTATTAGTAAAAAGGTATGATGTGATAGTTAGGGTATGAAAAAGTAAGGAGTAAAAGTGACTTTTTAATAGAAATGAGAAGTGTTTTGTGGGACGGATAAAAAAAGAAAGGGAAAATGTTTCACGGGACGGAGGGAGTACAACATAAATTGCCAAAATCCTAACAATTCTCAACTATTCGCAGTTTGATAATATGATGAGTGTGGCAATGTAACAATGAAAGTGTGAATTCAATCTTATTATGTCTTAAAAGACTCAATTCTATTTTGGTATTTTCATAGTTTTTTCTCATATCGATGGTGTTCTCCCAAAAATCTTTTAGCAAAAAGGAGAAACTGGTTTTATTACATACGGAGTATAATACTTCTTTCATCCCAAAAATATTTTCATGTCTACCATCTCTCCATCCATCTCTAAAAACCTTCATGTATTGACTATTAAGGAATTTAATGAGATTGTATTTTGATATTGACTTTCCAAATTAAAAATATTCTTGTATGTGATTATATATTAATAGGAATAATAGCGAACACTACCTCCACCCTAGTGTATTTGTCAAGTTTGAAAAATCAAATTCGATAAATACACTAGAACGAAATAAGTAATATTACATACTCCCTCCGTCCCATAAAGTGTTACACATTTTGACTAAAGTTAAAATTAAGGGAGAGATAATTTTGTGTTGACTTTCCAAAAATACCCTTGATGTGATGGGTAAAAGTAGGATGTGATGTGTAGATTATTAGAAAAAAAAGTATGATGTGATAGGTAGGGTTTGAAAAAGTAAGGGGTAAAAGTGGTTTTTTAGTAGAAATGGGTAAGGGTTTGTGGGACACAATTTTTTTGAAGCGTGTAAATCTTTTTGGGACGGATGGAGTATTTCGTTTGAGTGTATTTGTGATATGTAGGGTAAAAATAAGTAGTGGTTAAAGTGACTTTTTAATATACTCCCTCCATCATAAAATGGATGCCCTTGTTACTACTATGACATCTCGATCAATATTTTTTTGTTTGTATATTTTCATTGATCATTTGATAGAATAAAATATTCTTTGTACTCTATTGTTTTAAAAAACTTTTTGTGTATTTTTGTACAAAGTAATTGATACTTTTTATTTCTATACCAATTGTTATTTAAAATAATTTTAAAAATAATAGGTCAGATTTTGTACATTATTTAGAAAGTGGTATCTATTGTAGGGCGAAGAGATTAATTTATTTTTTTAATTTTATTAATCATTTGATGAAATTATACGGAATATAACGTTCTCAACTCTTAGTTTGTACAATTTTTTATAGACTCATAGTTGTTAAATTTTTTATTTTTTTTAAATATTATTAAATATTATTATAAATTAAATTAAAAATAATTTTACTCAAAAACCATAAATTCATAATCCGTAACACGAATATCTTTTTGGAACCGATAATTGGAAATAAGAGATGATCTATTTTTAAAAATTGATTGGGATGATGTAATAGTAACTACTCTATTTGCCATAATTTAAGTTGCATGTTTATTATTCATAAGGTTAGTCTTTAATTATTTTCTTAATAAATTTTTGTTACTCAAATGATAAAATAAAATAGTCATGTCACATCTTTCTGTGAATCTTTTTATTTAATTTTTAAATATATAAATTTAATTTTTAATTCTGTCTCAATTTTCAAATAAATAAATTTCAAAATAACTTTAGTCAATATCGTAAAAAACTAAAAATATGAGGAAGAGAGTACAATTTGGCCACACATTATAATTGAAGTAGGATTAAAGTTTGGGAAGGAAGGCAAATAATGACACGCAATTAGGGGAGTAAAAAAGGGATCAGACAAAACAAAAATGGTGGGTCGTCTTCGTAATTAACATGGTTGGTTGGTCTTACAGTAGATCGATCCGAACACAATAAAAAATAATAGCCGTGAATTTGTCGGGTAGCACGTACTTAGTACCGAGGTACGTAGCTAGCTTTATTGTTGCGGTTGTTTCTGGGGCTCTCTGCTTATGTGGAGTCCAAAACCCAGAAGAAGAAAACCCCAAAAAAAGAAAAGAAAACAGAAAAAAGAAAGCCAGAAAAAAAAAAGTGTTTTAGGTAGTAAAGAGAGAAAGAGATGGAGATCTTTGTGACAGCACATGCACTGATGCATGCAGGGTATAGTAAGGACACGAGAGAGAGACTCTTTGTTTTCCATTAAATGGGGCTCCAAGTTACTTCTAGAATCACCCAAGAAGTAAATCGAGTTATAATTACAGACTCGCTAACCAAAAATTGACTTTGTGTACATGAGAAGTGTTGTACTTATTTTGAAATCGAACTCGAATTTATCCCACATTCCGTTCCATCGGTGCTGACAAGATGGATTGGATTGAACAGGAATCAAGAAGATCGTGGCCTGGACGTTGAATTTTCCAAACGCCGAATGGCTGAGGGCGGGGACGGTGTTTTCTGCCAAAGAGTCAGTTAAACCAAAAAATCAAGCTTTTGGTTATTGTTCTAGAAAAAGGTTTTATATTCTAATATGCTTTCTCACATGCAGGCGTGACCATTTTTTAGCCTTGCGCGTGAAACTTAATTTTTTTAATTGAGTATCGATGAGTTTTGAACTCGTGAACACATAATCATCAAGGCTATAAAATCATGTCAAAGAACCAATATACGTGAGAGTAGTGTTAGCAGATGAATAAAAGTCGTGTCAATACCTTTTAAAAGACTCATTAATAGATTAAAATAGTACCGAGTAACTTGCATAAGTAATTTTGGTATTATTTTTAAATTTTATCATTACTTATTAATAATAGAGTAGAATGGGATGTATATGATAGATGAGTCATAAGTTAAAAAAAGAGGAATTTACTTAAATAACACTAAAACATAATAATTTTTCCTAAATAGCACCACATGTGTTTTTCTTCTCAATGTAGCACTTTTAGTCATTATGCATTAGTCATTATTCAAGCAAACATTCGACATCACTGAACATTATGGACATTATTAAGTGCTATTTAGAGAATAAAACAGTTTAAATACTATTTAGAGAAATGACTTAAGTTTTAATGCTATTTAGTGCAAATATTTCTTGAAAAAAACATCAAAATTAATCATTTTAAAGGCTTGCCTTTTTTTAAAAGGAAATATTTCATGGGATGAGGAGTGTAAAATTCAACTAATAGAAATTAATAACTAAATCCGCCGTTCCAAAAGTACTTTCTCACGTTGAACAAAGTGTGAAATTCATTATTTTTAAAATAATTTTATTTATAAATTAGTATAAAAATAAAAATATAAATTATACGGAGTATTGTTTAAAATTACATACGAAATTCCATAAAACTCAAATCGATATGAATATTTTATTTTATCAAATAGTTAATTAAAACCTGTGAACAAGGCAAAGTTATCAAGAATCTAAAATACTCCTCTTATCCCAAAAAAAATCTTTCTGACTTCTTTTTTTATCCGTCGCAAAAAATCTTTTTCATTTTTATTAAAAAGTCACTTTTACCCGAGCGGAATTATAAAGAACGGGTAGTGCCGGTGAGCGTTGCGCAGTTCGCAAAGGCAAGAAGTGCCAAGAAAGTTAGACCTGAGCTTGATTCTTGGTAATTGCGCTGAGAGGACGAAGTTGCAGACTCTAATCTTTGACACTAATTTATAATTAAAATCTAATTTACTTTTTATCAGTGACCCCGTCATACCAGATCTGAAATAGTCTTCAAGATTAGGGCTCATCGTCTTTGTAAGTGAAGGGGTAGTTTTGTAGAGTTGTTGGCAGCATAGGATAGCGGGCGGGTACCACTTCTTTAATTATGTGGGCAAGTGAGGATTTCCATTTCCATTGTACAATTTGTACTCCAGGCCAAGCCTAATATTTCCTCCGGCCCTAAATATTTGCAACATTTGTTTTTTAGCAGTCGTAGAAACTTTTTTTTATTTCTACGTTTTCATTGGTTATTTGATAAAATAAAATATTATTGACACTTTTTATTTCAAAGAACTTTTCATGTAGTTTTTTAATCTGTAAATTTTATTTTTTATTTTTATACCAATTTGTAAATAAAATGAATTGAGAAAACTTGATACGGAGTACTTTATCTCAGGAATACAAGTGTGACAAATATTTAGGGACGAAAAGAGCATATAACACCGGTGTGTGTTGCGCAATTAGCAAAAATAAGAGGTATTAGAGTGTTAAAGATTCGCATTCAAATTCGATTTCGAACTTTTTTCCAGAAACAACTATATTAAAGATAAGATTTTTGCAAGTAATAGTGACACATTTCACTTTAGGGAGTACAATTTATCCTTCTGTTTTTTATAATGTAAGAGCAGAGCACCTATCATTATATTGCTGCCAAAAGTAATTAATATAATTAAATTACTCCGTACCACAAACCTAACCAATACGGAGTATATATGAGTAATATAATTACTACTCCCTCCCTCTAATTATTTACTCCCTCTTCGAAAAAACATACAGTAAATAAACTGAGGGTTATGGTGGGATGCTATTTTCATTGTCAGAAGCCCTGAGCTAACCCAGTACGTACCACTCTTGTCCCATAAATAATGTCTTGATTTTCTACTCATTAAGATTTTTTTTAAATTCATTCAATCTACTCCGTAGTAGCAATATTCGTTTAAATAACACTCAGACCCGGCCGAACAGTAACGAAAAGGAGATAAATTAGATTTTGATTGTAGATAGTGATAAATAATGAAGTGTACACCTGGTACTTGCAAAGGTCCTACGTGGCTACGCTTAGCATAGTTAGTTGCTTTTCAGCGCAGATGCTAGGAATCGAACTCGGACCTTACCTCATTGCCTTCCCAACTGCGCAACGCGGCAACGCTCAGCGGCACGGTAAAATATCTTTGAAAAAAGGATTAGCCACTCAGACCCATCCGGACAGTTACTGAGAGGAGATAAATTGGATTTTAATCAGAGATTGGTGACAAATAATGAAGCATGCACATGGCAATTGCAGAGATCCTATGTTTAGCATAGTTGCCTCTTGCCTCCCAACGCAGTTGTCAGAAATCGAACGCGGGTCTTACCTCTTGGCACCCTTTGCCTTGCCAATTATGCAACGTCCACCGACAATAAATAAAACATCTTCGAGATAAAACAACTAGTGGTCTTGTTGGGTTTGTGCAGGCTTGGGCTTGACTTGTAGGCCCGACCCATGTTATATAACCATAGTTTCTTTTCTCCTATATATATATTGAGCCCTTGTACTTGTAATTCCGTGAGACACGACAAGTGAAATAGAAATCCTCTTGTTGCAGCCGTGGAATAGGGAAATCGAACCACATTAAATTCTTGTGTGTCGTCCGTGTTCCGTTTCTCTCGTTTCTCGCATATTATTTGTGTGTGTTTAAATAGTTGGCAAGGCAAAGGGTCGTTCGTGTCGCTCGTCCATCCTGAGTCTGACCTGTGGCTCTAGGTTTTTCTCTTGCATAGACAACCTTATTCTGCTCACGAGACGCGACTTCTCAGACACAACTTCTTCAATTAAATCGTCCTGAGAGAGATGAGAGTGGATGAATTGAAGTAGAAGATATGTAATTAAGTCAATGTGAAATTAATATTTTTTGGTTTCAATTCAACACCATCATAATAGAAGCTCAAAGTAAGGCTAGCTTATTCGGGAAAAAATACTCATAAAAGAAGGATTATAGACATGATGTTTGATCATATAAGATTAAACATGTAAAACTTCATGTTTTAACTTCTTTCTCAAAGAAGAGAGACAATACAATGAGAAAAAGGGAACATATTATTGATAAGAGGTCACCCCATTGACAAAAGAAAAAGCTTAACAGATAAATAGAGAGGATCCATATTAGGATTGGGCTTATCTCGTGTCCTCTCCTTTTTTGAGGAACTCTCTCTCATCTCTTCTTTCCATACACGCCACCTCTTGATGTTGATGTTGATGATGAGCTTTTTTTTTCTCCTATTGCCACTATCAACAATTACTAGAATCGTATTTGTATTCTAAAACTTTTACTCCAAATTGTACACTAGTATTTTCTATAATGTGAACCATTTCGTCAAAATAGACTAACAAACAATCTCATGATTTTTCATCCTAAATAAATACTCCCTCCGTCCTATAATGATCTTCCCGATTCGCAAAACGAAGAAAAATCCGAAATTTTTTCAATCTATTTTATTTAAATATTGGTATAGAAATAAAAAATAAAACATTCATATTTAAAAACTACACCAAAAGTTCAACAAAACAAGTGGTGACAAGAATATTTTATTTTATCATATAGGCCATGAAAAAACACAAATAAATATAAATTCCCGTGAAGTTGGAATAGTGCTCTGGGAAGATCATTATAGGACAGAGGGAGTATTTTTTATTTTGAAGATATTCTTACGTGGTATTAAGTCTCATGTTCATTTTATGAATCTTAGTATATTGATACCATAAAAAATTGGACTTTTTGCAAAAATAGAAGGAAATCCACTTGTGAGCTCATTTAATGTATAAGAAGAGCCATATTTCATATTTGGACCTTAAGACTACGGAATAACTCTTTTTTGTTCCATATATGACTTAGGCTATTCTGCCTAAATTTTTCTTTCTATTTCAATTTTCAATGTTTGAACAAACTTTGTTTCAACGCAATTTCTTACATTATACTCCGTAATTTATAAGTGTATATTTTAAAATATAATTTATACATTTTACAACTATACCAATAATTCTACAACGTAAATGACCAATGAAAATTGACAAATAAAGCAAGTAAAATTGGAGTGTATGACTAGTAATAAAAAGAAAGTTTAAAGGAGAGAAGTAGAGAACACATGGTATGACTTAAAGTTATTCTCAACTCAAGCTACATATTATGCTAAAAATTAGTGTAAAGTTCAAAATCACAATTTTTTATTTAATCACATTAAAATAAGTCTTTTGCACTACAAACTGAGTGCTTCTATGTTGCACCTTAGGTGCATATCATTTTTATAGATTTTTTCACATAATTTTTTTTATTAAAAAAACAAATGATACAATTCATCATAGAATTTGCCTAGAAGAACAAATAAAAGTCTTGTCACCATTTATTTTTTGAATTCTTTATGAGGATTTCAAGTACAGAGTATGTAAATTTTAGTTTTTTCAAAATTTAAGTTAAATCATTTTTTTGAGTAGTGAATTAAATAAATTTGATGGAGCATTTTTTCGGTTGATAATATTTACGAAAACGTATGCAAAAGAAATTAACGTAACTTGGATCAAATGGGTATGAGCACTGGGCCATGGGCGTAGCCCATAATTTGAAAATGCCATTGGACTCTTCTCTTATAAACTCTGCTTGGTGGTCCCTAAATGAATAAGGGGAGTGGGCCTTAAAGACCTTGGGCTGTTGTTGGATTAAGATGGGCTTGTAATTTCTAACGCTGAAAAGAAAAAGAAAAAGAAATCCATCCAACCAAATATTCATTCTCTATCCAGACGCCGACGATCATCCCAAAACTTTCACCTCCGTGGGTCCAATCGGCGGCGAAAACGTAGACTTCTCCGCTCCCTGCTCCGTCGTCTTCCCTCCGTACGCGACGATGCAACAGAGCGATCTCAGCTCCATTACGTACCCCCAGTATCCCCAAAATCCCAATTATACCCCAAATCCTACTCCCAATTTGCTCGATCATCCTCCTCCTCCTCCGCCATCACAGCCACCACAGCCGTTTTACGCCTCCGCTCCGCCATTCAGCGCCGGCTTCCCTCCTGCACCCGATCACCACTCGTATTCATCATCTTCTCACTCTCCTTATCTTCACCATCCAGATGTTTTCGCAAGCACTCCTGCCCCGAACTTCCAATCGTATAATCCACCTCCGGCGCCTTTGCCTGTGACCCAACAGCCTCAGCCTTCCCCCACATTTCCGAGATACGAAACCCCCGCCGGAGATTACCAACCTCCCACCCAACAAAATTCATTTTATCCACCGTATGATCAATCCCCGAATTATGTCCCCACAAACCTTAGCCAGGCGCCCAATACTTCGTTTTCCTCAACCTACCAGTCCCCATACAGTAATCAACTAAGTTCTGATCAAGAAAAGATGTATAGTAATACTAGTTTTGAATTCGATCACTCTAGAAGATACATGGATGAATCTGCAGGTCGTTATGGGAGTTACGGGTCTGGGAGAGCCGAATTGGGACAAGATCATTATGGAAGACGACCTGAGAGACACTATGGGACTGATGATCATGGCGATGGAGTGTATGCTTATCAGGGGAGTAGGGCTGAACCGTATGGGGCTCGAGGAACTGCTCCGAAGTCGTCTACTTGGTCTAGTTTTGATGATTTTGGGAGGCCCATTGGACTTCGTTCGGAGGACAGGCCTTCGGGCTTGAGCACGAAGACCGTTCGAGCTGTTCCTAAAGCAGAGACCCAGCAGGACGTGAAAGCAGGAGTTCAGAAGTTCAGAGTGAAGCTGCTGGCTGAAAGCGGTGGTCAGAGCACCCAAGATGTTCTTTGCCAGGTTTATTATTTTCTCGTGCTTGTTTAAATGAAATGTGATTATTGTTTGTAAAAAATTTCAAGTTTAGTCTTTATATAATACCCTCTAATAGAAATAGACAAATTAAATGAGTTTGAACAATATGCTTACATTATCATTACTTCCAAATTACCCTTATACCTCCCTCTCCATTTTCTTTCCTTAGGATTCAGAGTTCCAAACAGACCTTTACAGTAATCGGGGTTTACATTCAAGTTTGGTTTAGCTAGACTGTTGGCAAATTAACATTTTGGGAACTCATCGCGTGTGCTGAGTTCTTTACTTTCGTTTTTCCATTGGTTTGGTGGCCAACTAGAAGCAAATTGTTCTCTCTTTGAGGTGGTTAATGGTTGTAAGAAATAAGTACTCGCAAAAGTTAAGCAAATGGTTCATGGCTTGAGTTTTTTGTGCATTCAGTATAAAAGACTGACATAAGCTTGTATTTTGATGGAATTTGATAATATTATATGGTTAAGAATGGAACTTGGATTTAGTAGCACAATAATCATTTCTTTATCTGCGATGATCCTCACCACATATTTCATGTTTTACCTTGTTTTGGGAAGGGGAAATTTAATGTTGGATTGTATAATGTGTGACATCATACAGATTGGGTTAGATGGAATTCGTATGCTTGACCCAAGCACAAGCCGGACATTGAGAATATACCCTCTTGATACAGTTACAAGATGTGAGGTAAGTTCGGCATCCCACTTTTATTCCGTTGGGGAAATTGATAGAATATGAGTAGATGTTTGTTTTCTTGTTGACTACTTGGCAGGTGTTATTTTGCTGGTTTCAATTTTACGCTGGTTGTGTTTGTCCCGTTCTAGGTATTTGATTCATCTACCTTGGCTTTTTGGTCGAAAAGCACCGTAGACATAGAACCAAGGCGTATTAGACTGAAGTCAAATAGTTATACGACTACAACCCTCTTAGACGCTGTTACAGCTGCTACTATACAGGTGTCAAATACTTATACTTACTAATTTATTAATTAATTACAGCATAATTAATTATGAACTTGCATCTATATTCATTTTTTCTTGATGCCTCTTATTTATTTTTCTCCTAATTCAATTGCTGCCTTGTTTTAAGCAAGATATGAGTAATGAAATTTGATAAAGACTACCCTATTTGAGGTGAAACATGGGGAAATCTTGTGATAGTTTTTTAAGTTTATATTTGTTATTCAATAAATTACATGTAGTTTTCATAAATTACAGGTAAGTTGTCCCTCTTTTCATTTTAATGTACGTAGTAGCATTTCAAACATTATTCCCTTCACCCCCCAAAGAAAGAGTCATGTCTCAAGAAGAGGCCCGCAAAGGGGGGCTCAATAGGTGCAAGTGCATAGGACCCAAAATCTAAGAAGGTCCTTTTTTAAAGCTATACTTCCTTTGTTCCGAAACAAAGTTTACACTTCGATTTTTTTAAAATTTAAAAAAGTTATTAGAAAGTGTTGAAAAGTTTAAATTGTGATGAGATTTTTTTAAAAGAGAAAATATTCTGAGATACATATTCTTTTCTATTAAACAAAGTGAAAACTTTGTAGCAGAACAAATGAAAGAACTCATTCCCGTTATCATTTAATTAGACAAGGTCTTGGAGCCTTACAATAATACCTACCTCATGTCCACGCATACTATCGCTGTTTGTTAGTTCTAGCAATTTAAACCAACTATAATGATATTTCAATTTTATACATGGAGTAGTTTTTATTGATTTAATGTTAATTATATTATGTATCTAATAAATACAAATAAAAATTTCTCCTTTTCTCGTATAATATATGGAGCAGTTTTTTATTGATTGTATAATGAAAATTCTCTTTTTCAACAACTTCAGCATTTAGCTTCAGCAATTTGAATATTCTAACGGCAGCATTTAGACACCTTGAAAGTTAATCTAAATCATTACAAAATTACCTAAAAGACTTACACTGATTGAAAATGTCATTCCCAAACAAAGCCCAAATGTATAAATATTGCACACGGCCTCCAAATATCATAAAAAAATCATTGGGCGGGTGTGACGAGAACCTTTTTGTTTCAAAATAGAGTCTCAAGTTTTAAATGTCAGCTTTAACTTCAAGTAGAATTCATGTAAAGCGAATCAGAAAATATAATGGTTTTAGTCAGTTATTCCAAACAATTTTGGAAATAAGATTTTGGGGCACAAGTTACCCTTCATAACTTGTAAAAGTGTTGGTGATGTGTAGTCATCGGCCCAAAGTGGCCCACTTGTAGACAACTGAGAGTTAGGAGACCAAATTAGGGTTTCGGCCGGCCCAAATGGTTTTAAGCCCAGTTTGCTATAACTTGTCCAGCAAGGGTTAAACCCTAATTAGTTGTCTATATATACGATCTCCTGTACTTGTAATCATCATCACTCAATAATACAAACCCTAGTTGCCCCTGTGGATGTAGGTCAGATTAGACCGAACCACGTTAAATCTCGTGTTCTTTATCGCTTTCTTGCTTTATATTCGTGTGTGTGCTTTTGTTCTTAACAA